CTCCGCAGACCTGAATGTAAGGTAATGTTAATGGCCATCAACCTCCATCTGCTGACAGTCTGTATTTATCATTTCAGGACTTGTTTTTCTGCAGCCTTGTTAACTATAATTGTGAAGAGAATAAAAAAGAAACTCGTAACATGCTGATTAATGTCTAGGTTCCAGTTCTGACAAACTGATTTGTTCAGATCTTGATGAACGGCTGATGTTTTCTTGGATAAATTAGTTTCATATTTGTATTAAGAAAAGCATGCAGACAAGGTTGAAAAGAAAGTACACTCTAAACATTTGTAAAAATTTACTTGATTCTCTGACTTGTGCAAAAACGACAAACCACAACGTGAAAATTAAGTCGGTGTTTGAAAAGCTACATGCACCCTTACTCCTTACATATAATTTAAGAGTGAAAAATGTAAATGCGTAGTTCGATTTGGTTTGATTGGCAACAAAAGTTGCAACATTTTTCAGCTACTGCGGTTTAATTTCACTATACCTAAACAAACCAAACTCTTTGAAAAACCTGTTCCCCTCCTCACCTGTGGTGGCGCTGCACCAAGAGCCACTGGTGGAAACGACAAAAAAATGGAAAAAAGAAAAGAGAGTGCAACTTCACTCCAGTTTGGTTCTGCATCCAGGAGACCTCTGCCATTTCATAAAATATATACAGCTCTGGAATATATTAAGACACCACTTCAAATGACCAGTTCTCTGATTTTACTTTTTATAGGTTTATGTTTGAATAAAATGAACATTGTTCTTTTATTCTATGAACTACTGACATGCCTCCGAAATCCCAAACAAAAATTTAGTATTTATTTGCAGAAATGAGAAATGGTCCAAATAAGGAAGAAGATGCAGAGCTCTCAGACCTCAAACGATGCAAAGAAAGCAAATTTACATTCATTTAGAAACAACAATACTAATGTTTTAACTCAGGATATTTGGTGGAATAACCAGGAGGTTTTCAATGAGGTTCTTGGTTTTTTCCAGAGCTGCATGTAATGGTGAGTTGCTGTGGTTCAGTGTCAAATGACAGAGACAAAACCAACAGAACATGGAGTTTAATAGTTAAGTACAAATGGTTAACCCACATTTTGTCTAAAACATCTCAAACTGAACAGTTTAGAGGACGAACAGCTTCTCTACTGGACCTGTATTCCTCAAAACAGCTTCAAAATCTACTTTGGGAATCTAAACGTCTGGCGTTTATGAAATCACTTTAAAACGTCCTGGCTGCCAGAGATTCCCTTCACAGAAATACTTTGGTTGTTGTTTGGTGATTTAAGGACGTAGTAGATGAATGTTTTGCACTGAAATATTCATTGTCCTATAAAAACTGCAGAAAAATCCCTGCGCAGCGGTGGAGGGATTTGACATCTTGAACACTTGCACATCAACATTTACTCTGCGAACTGAAGCGGCGACCTCGTTCTCCTTTATAAAAGACTAGGCAACCCGCATCGTGAGCTAAAACCACCCCTACACAATCAATGTCTTGATTCAGCAGTTGCTCTGCTCACTGTGGGGAAATGCATCATACCTCGGTCATAACTGCTTGTCTGAGAGTTTGGCTGCAGGCGGGCTCGGCCTCCAGAGACGCACGCAGACGAAAACATGCACACACGAGCTGCTGAGCGGTTGCACGTTACTCAGCAGTTTTTTTAATTACAGAAATTAGGGCAGGGTTTGGCCTGGAGGAAGGGGGGGCGGATGGGAGGCAGCTGAGCTCTGTGTTGTTCCTGCCGGTCACACGCAGAAGGGCACTGATACAGACAAGAGCAACACACACAGGCTCCCTCTCAAAGGTGGCTGCAGCGCACACTCAGACTTGCTTTTAATAGGGCCACTTATGAGTTTGAAATCAAATTGCCCTCTAACCTGATGTCAGGACACACACTCGTATGCACGCACACACTCGCTGTGGACTGCTCCTTCTTTCTCCTTTATTTCCCCTGTCACTGCTGATGGTCTCACATTTAGAGAGCTGTCTACCACTCGGGTGGTGCTGCGGCTCTAAAGCTCAAGGGTAATTGGAAATATTTCACACATTATCCTCCACTCCTCAAACACACACACTCTTATCCGTCTCATCTGAGTCCTTGGTGGTCAGTTTGATCATCAGAGAAATGGTGGCCAGTGTACAGCTACCGTTATTAAAGCTGAACACAAGGACGACGCTTCAGTTTCCCTCTTTTTTTTTGTTCTGTCTTGAGATGCGTCAACAATCTGATGTGTTTCCACCGTCACTCTTTATGTCACGTTCACCTCAAACAATAGATCTTCACAAAATGGAAAACTACTTGAATTTGTTGATTGTCAATGGACAACATCAGCAGTACAAGTACCAGTGACGGATGGGTGTGAACGTTTTTCTGTGATGCCGCCATATTGGATTTGGAGATCAGTGAGAAACCTCACTGCTAAGTTTGGTCGGATATTTAACACAACGGGAAAAGAGGAGCAGGAAATCCTGCCTGAGCTGCTGTGTTGCTTTTGGGCTGAATAGATGGAGCGCTGCTGTAGTTTAACTTTTGATGACATGATGTTGGGTTGACAAGAACAAAGCATTATGAGATTAGCTAAAATCCCCAGATACTCCTTTCTAAAAACACCTAGAGCTGCTTAGTTTAGCAGTTCAGACACCAAAGATCCTTTAATGTGTATCAAAATGCATCTTAGCGCTACTACAGACGCTAACATCTACGTCTTCCTTCTTTCCACTCTTCAGTGTTAAGCCAATCAGCATCAAGGAAAATGACTGACGATATTTATCAGTACTGTTGCCATATAAAAATCCTGCACCTAAAATTCTTAATTTCCCCCAAATGTTAATAAAATATTGTTCTGTTAACCCAGTATCACGTCCTGTAGATTGAGCATTACGCTCACAACCCTAATACATTATTTCAAGGAGTATTAGCGTTTTAAAAACTGTAAATGGTCATCTATTAATCAGAGACCAGCTTTAACATCAGTACCTTGTAGATATGTCTTCTATTGTTTTGTTTTTTTTGCATTTTGTGACTCCGTCAGCGTTTCTTTTTCTGAAATGCTCCCACATAAATGGCTTAAAGGTTTCACGGTCAACTCCATGCTTGAATAAGTATTTGAGTTCAGCTGCAAATAGATTGCCCTTTGCCAGCAATGCCTCCAGTAAACAACAAATATTTTGGCTCTTTTTCAGAAGGTTTTGTGGCATAAAATGCCATATCAGCCAAACTAAGTGTAGTTTGGAGTTTGACACGAAGCACATCGGCGCAGGAGAGTCCCGTGCAGCTTGTGGCAGAAATATTCCTGCATCGTCCCGCCTGAACTCGGTGAGGTTGGATAATATTTCAGTTGTGGTTCTGGAAAGTCCCAAACCCGCTAAGATGTTGCAGCCTGCCGCAGTGCTACTCCTCCAAAAACTCACATCTAGATAGATTAGGCAGATAATTATTTTTGTTTTCTCCTAATTGCTGGTGTTGTCATGCTAAATTACATGTTTTGAAGTTAAATTAGCGTCGCTCAGTTGCAGATTGCTCCGAGCTCGTGTCTTGCTTTCTCCCTAGATCAGCGTTAAATTCAGCTGCAGGTAACAAAGGATCTCCTAACAAATCATGTCACTTTCTGAAACCAGCAGATGTGCTTTGAAATAACTGAGCACCAGAGTCACAATCGGCTAATCTGTTGGCTTTTACTACTCATGTTTCAGTTCAGCTGATGTTGAGCATTATTGGGGCCTGCCAAAGCAACGAATAGGGAACAACAAGATCTGTTAGTGGTTTTGGCTTCCCTGGTTTGGAGAGGAGGGGCAGGAGAAGCCGTCACATTTGGCGTTTGCTTCTCATAAATGTAAACAAATCCCCTTCCCCTGCAGTCGTAACATGGTCGTCAGCAGCCTGTTGTCCACGCATCAGAAAGCAGTGGATCGGCCCTGAATCACAGCAAATGATGGAGGAAAGACGGTTCAGCTGGTTTCCACTTTGTCCAGGAACGTCAACAGTTTCATTTGGATTCACAACCAAATGTTGGTCCCAGTTGTTCTGGGTTGACTCCCAGATTTCCACAATGTAAAGCAAAATGTTGGTTCTCCATGTTTGATCAGGATTGTTAAGCAGACGGTACTTTCTAAGTTTGTTCGAGATTTGTAAACTTCTACCTATATTATTGCTCTAGATGTTATTTTACTGCCGAATTTGCAAATGCTGTTTGGTTTTTTCTGTTCATAACCGTTTTTATGTCAGTAGATGCTATAAATGAATCCAGTCTGTGTGCATATGTACTATTTGCTTTGTTCACAAACATTGCTGCTTTGAAACAGCTTTTAAAAATAGCTTATCTGAATTATCAATGATGATACTCGGTTATCTAAGAAAGAATGGATCAAATATTGGCCTTTTCTACAGATGTAACGGCGTGGGAACAGTTGCAAGCACCTTCCAGTGCTTCAGCACTGAAGCCACTTGAGTTGTGTAACCTAATACGAGAGCTTAATATCGTCTTTCTGTGACACAACAGGAAATATTACACAATGTTACATCTGATTTAAAAAAAGCACATTCTGTGTAGAAAGTAGAAATTTACTCGCATCTTTTCCATACATGTAATTTTTATTTATATCAAGTCCAGAGAACAATATTGACTTTGGCAAAAATGAAATAATAAAACAGAAAAAAACCAACATTGTTGAGTAAAAGTCAACGTTATAAATCTAACTGGCTCTGTTTTTATAGGCATCAGTTTGAGGCCGTGTACTGGGATGTAGGCGTTTTCCAGTTTTTGTTCTGTGTGCTTATTTATTATTGTCCTCTTGAGCTTTACTGTTCGTCAAGTATTAACGCTTTTTGTTCTAGCCATGAATTATTGATGTTAAAAGGAACAAAAAGAAACCACACACTTCAAATTCTGCTCCTAACATCATTCCTCAGAAAAACAGAAACACATGGTGCAACAAGTAACATTTTTATATATATATGCCATATATATATATTTTGTACTTTCATGTTTTCTCTTTTTTATTATTTTTGAAAGCATTAAGAGTCTCTTAAGTGAGTCTTTGAGTGAATGTTAGTGATTTTGTAATTATTTTTATCAACATTCATAAGTTTGGTTTTAAACTTTGAACCCATGTGGCACAAATAAGTCTAAAAGTCACACAAAATGAGTTTGAAAATTAGATTTTTTTTCCACCAGTTTGTGCTCTCCGACGATGCTACGGTGCTGAAAGTATCCATTTGATCTCTAAACGTTGCATTTCAGTTTGGATAGGACACCTCTTATCATAATTGTGCAAATTCCTGCTTTCTCCAGCATGCCCAGAAAGCACTAAATGTGGTGTTCTTCTTTTTTTCTTCTGTTTTTTATAAACTGATGGTGTGTTACTGGATTGACCCTGTCTGCAAATACACATCCAGTCTCTGCTCCACCAACACTGATGTGGCCATTACCACGATTCCTTTCTTTCCATTACCCGACATGCAGCATGATCTTCTTTTAGAAATGGACACTCACATGTTCCATCAGGCCTGCGTCTCCTCCATTTTGTAATCCATATTGACTTGTGATCTCGATATTTTTCTTTTAACATCTGCGGTCCCACTGCCTCGCTTTTCCACGCCCGTATCGATTGATCATGTCCGCTGCACCAGGCTCTGTATTTATACTCCTGTAATCCAGAGGCGCACACGGCCTAATGCTCCTCAGCCGGACACATCTTTCACACTCGCTGCTTCTTTTAGTTACTGTTTTTTTATTTTTATTTTGGGAAAAGGCGTCTCAGAAAGGTGATCTGTGTCGGAAGTGAGAGCCAGAGTAAGGCAGCGGCCTTCAGACGCAGCTGTATTGTTTCTGATCCAGTTTAAATCCACTGGATGGTGCTTGTTGAGTTGGTGGATGGGTGGACTCTGGAGAACCGCAGCTTTGTTGCTTTCGCTCACCCTGACTCCGCCACATCACCTTTATTCTGATGCTTTTTTTATGATTCTTGATTAGATTTCTTTGCGGCTGCATACTTCTCATATTGTTTGCCCCTCTTTTTGTCTAGATTTTTGATTATTCCTCTTTTCATCTTACCCAAAGTATTTAATTAAACATTTTCCTTCCCATCTTCTATGTAATTTCCTGGACTTCTTGCTGGGCAAATAAATTGGCTGTGACTCAGTCTGACTCCTCTCCTTCATTCTGATCCCACCTCTCTTATTTTCCGCTCCCCTAATTTCACCTCTAATCACCGTCCTGAATCACCGTCCTGAATCACCGTCCTGTCCTCAAGCCTTTATCCGTCTGTAACGTTTTCCTGCTCTGCCTTATCCAGACTATACCACGCTTTCCTCCAGGTCTTCACCACCTTCCTCCTTCTCCTTGCTCCTCTCTTTTGCTTTCCCACCGCTCGTCCCCGTGTTTGAGTTTGAGTTGGTGGTGTTATAGGCGTGGATGTACCCCCGTTTGAAGTCGGGGCCCCCGAGGCCCCCGATGCTCTCGCCCTCGTCGCTGGTCGTCGACGAGGCGGCACTCGTCGTCGACGCGCACTGCACCAGCATCCCGTGCAGGGACTGACTCCGTCTCGTCCAGATCACGCTCAGCCGCTTGGCACAGCTCACGGCGCCGTAGCGCCTGGCAACAGTTGCGGCCGCATCGGTTGCTAAGGCAACAGAGGAGCCCATGTCGAGCGAGTGTCGCCGCTTGCCAACAGTCCCACCGGCGGGGCTCAGAGGGGAGACGGGGCTCTGATAAGCCTGCGAGGAGTTCCATTTGTCCCTGCCTCTGGGTGTGATTCTCCAGTCCAGCAGCTCCGAGTCCCTCAGGGGGGCAGCCAGGGAGAAGCTGGCTCGGTTCGTCAGTTCTCGCTCCAGCCGCGGATTTGGGCGGTCCCTGGAACGAGACTGCCGGGGCAGCGTGGACGAAGGGGAGGGGGAGTAGTAGAGGGGAGTTCTGTCACTTTCTAGGTTGTGCAGCAGTGCCTTCCTCTGCCTCACCACCAAGGCCATCTCGCTGCCCGCCCCCGTCGTCGTGGAAACCACCCCTCCGGCTGACAGGAACTGCTCCAGGTTGACTCTGGGCTTCGGCCGGGGCTTTGGGGGCAGTTTGGGAGGCAGAGGGGAAGCGGAATCGGCTCCGTCTTTCTCCTTGTCCTTGTCTTTCTCCGCCTCGCCTCCTCTCTTGGAGGGCAGGCCGTTGGGAAGGACCACCATCATCACGTCTCCAGAGCCGTTGGACTGGTAACACCCGCCCCCGTTCCCCCCCTTGTCCCCACATCCGACCCCTCCGCCCTGGCAGCAGGCCCCGCCTCCGGCCTCCGTGTTGCCGTTTTGACAGAACATGTGGTCGCCGTGGTTGCAAACCCGATGGCGGACCATGAGCGCCACGGTAAACACGAGCAGGGTGACCACCACGACGCCGCCCACCAGTATGGTGAGCGTCCCGCCCAAGAAGTGGGCTTGGAGCGAGCGGCACGCCGGGTACACGTCCTTGGTGGAGAAGGAGGTGCAGCCCAGGACTTTCGTTGCAGCCAGTGAGGTGATTGTGTCGTCAAAAATGGCCAGCACACACAGGTTGTAGTCCACGCCAGAAACCAGGTTCTTCAGCAGGAAGCGGTCGCTGGTGGATGGGAGGATCCTGCGGAGAGATTTCAGAGAGAAAAGCTTTGTTACTTCACACATATACTTACTTCAGATGGAATAAGGCTGAATATTAGAGCAACAAAGTAGAAGACAGTGTAAAAACAGCAAAAGATTGGTTCTGTTATTAGCAATAGAACAGAAAATGAGGCTTTTCTTGGTGAATACACAAGGGGATATAAAGGGAAAAAAACTGCTCATTTGTAGGGTAGTTGATGCCCATATGTGTTGGCAATCGTATTAAAAACTCTGTGTGAAATCGATATTAAGGCATGTGATGGAGCCGTAATGTGCAAGTAGCTATTTATGTTTTTATCATCTGATTTTCAAGAGCGAGAACATATTGATGCATATTAAACTACAAAATACATTTAAAAAAAAAAATTCACAAGACATGCATAATGATCCCCATACTGTTTTTAATTGGATAAAATAATTAACACAGCTGAAATATGTTTCATAACAAAACTGAAATAGAATATTACAAGAAATATGATTAATATATTACAGTATGACTAAAACAATAAATATTACCGCAAGTAACCATTGAGAAAATATTACAACTAATAAAGAAATAATAGAACTAAAAAGTAATGAAAAAATGAATTTAAACAATTTAAAGAGAGAAGCATGGGAAGGATTAAATGTGAAAATTCAACTAATATTGCCATTAATTGAAGATTAGATGCAATTTAAACAAATATTAGGAAATAGTGGACAGGATGAGAAATAAAAGACAAGATGTAATTCTAGATTTAAAAAAGTGCATTGAAAGGAATAGACGAATAAAGAAGAAAAATTGCAAATATTATACTGATTTAAATTTAAATTAAATAAAAATGAAATTAAGATAAGACAACAGACGAAGTTAAGTAAAAGATTTGTATTTTAGAGAGAGGTTAGCTGAATTGCTTTTAACTCTGCACTTAAACATTGTAACATTACTTCTCCATATAGAGACAGCTGAGCAGTTGGGTGATGTTTAGATCCAAAAAGATTGAAAAATCAAGTAGAATATCCTAAAGTGATCAAACAGAAACCCAAATGTCCGAATCCCTCAAAAAAGGCCAGATGAAAAACACGGGGCTCAAACTGTGCAGGATAGATTATTGGTGAATATGTCTGTAAGTTAAGTGTCCACACTGTGCTGCTAATGTTATGTCCAAAAGCAGAGCTTCCTCTGCGATCGATGCAGATTTTGTCTGCGTGAGTTGGAGCGTGGAGGGGTTACAGAGAGAGAGGAGTTTGACCCTGTCCTCATTTTAAGTGCTGGAGCGAACGAGTGGAGGAGAGGTGAGCTGAATGGATGAAGAACTGAGGGCCCTCGCTTTGCATAATTTGTATTTAGCTTGCTTCAGGACGGGAATTGGTCCATTGTTTGTATTTAGAAGAGCAGAACAAGCATGTGTTTTTTTGATGAGTATGTGTGGGAGACTGAAGCCCACCTCAAGCACATTGTTGCTGGTTTGAGTTTGTCCTCTGCAGCTTTAACCCTCTTGTGTGGGAAAAGTGTTTTTTTTTTTGTTTGTTTTTTTTCCTCCTCCTCTGCTTTTGTCTCCATTTTTCTTGGCTTTCTCCTGCCACATCAAAGAGCTTATTTTGTATAATGTGTTTCTAGCCATTAAGTCTCTCCTCAGACTTGGAGTTACATCCCGTAAATGCCATTTTGGATGACTGACGCTCAGGGAGCTTCTCCTTTAATACCCCCAGCCTAACTCTATTTAAAATGCATTCAAAAATAAAGACAGAGGACAGCAGCAGATTTCCTTCGCTTTTAAATTGGGTGTAATTACCTTCACGTAATCAAGTTTTACAAATGAAACCGGTCTGATTGACGCTTCTCATACATATTTATGTTGGTCTTGATGGGATGATGGGATTTGATGTTTAATAATGCAGTGTAGCTGGGAAATCAGAGGCGCCTACTTTCAGGCACGCTGCAGGGCAGATGCATGGATTTCAGGCTCTGGAACGAATATCGATCTCTTCTGCGGCTTCAAACCTGAAAATGTCTTAAGCTGGTACAAAGGGTAGAAACTATCTACGTCACGTTCAAATAGTTTTTCCAGAAAGTCTGAAATGGCTGCTGTCTAAAAACAGATGACACTGATAAAAGATTAAACTAAAACTGCAATGTTGTTTTAAGAGTTTAATGGACAGCATGACCTGCAGGGTTTCTAATCAATCTGGACTTATAGTTCTAGATCAGTATGAGAAAATAAAATTAAAGGGAATATTTGTATTTTCAGACTTCAACCAGACACCATCGTCCAAAAGCGTTGGTATCAAACTCCACTTCTCCAGTGTCTTTTAACTATTTATGATATCAGTTTCAAATCTCCGCCTGGATATTTTTGCTTATTTTAATTGTGTTTTAAATGTCTTGAGTAAATATATTTGCCCATTTATCCAAACAACTGAAACTTTCAATATCTAGCCATTAAGTGCACAGTTATTTTCGCAATTTACCGTCTCTTAAAATAATGATCTTCAGATTAATTTCACTACCTTCCACGGTGGGGGAGAAATTACCGTAATAACCTGATATTGGCTGCAAAGTGCAACGTCTCCTCTTTCAGAAACCGTTTGAATTTTTCAGATAGCGCAACGTGTGGCGAATTTACGGTACTGCAAATTTGGCTGATGCGTTCGGTCTGGAAGGGTTAAACATTTAGATATCTCCAGACCAACACACCTGAAAACAATTTACTGAATGTTGTCAGGTTTTACAAACTCCTGCTAATCTCTAAACTATTTGATTTGTCTGTGTGAAATAAAGACTGATTTTAAGAATGCAAAGAAACCAACATTTCTTATGTTGCCATAGATTCCCTCTTTGTAGAGCCACACATTTACTCAACCACTTGGTGAAAGCTCATTATTTGGTTTTGCAGTGTACTAATTTCCCTGAAAGCATATCTACCTCCAGTCTCTAAACACCAAATCCTCAGAAGATGAGACACGTTTTTCTTTCAAAGAGGAAACACTGACCTGAAAATCAGCTTCCCGGATCAAAGCAGACATTTAAAACTAAACATGAAGACAAGACGACGCCTTTGAAAAGATGTGCGTGTTTTAAATGAGGAAATCCAGTTGCTGGTTTGTCAAAACAGCACTGGTAAAAGTGGCTCTTGTTCCATTTTCTTAGATTAATTAGTTCCCTCAACTCTGCCTCTACACAAAGACCTTTTGTTCTTCAAATTGTGTGGCAGTTCTGTGGAAAACGGACACCAATTACACTGGGAAGCCCAAAACATCAGAGGAGTAACTAATATTAGCAGGGAAAATAGAGCACAGACTCAGTTATGCTTTTAGAAGTTGTCAAGTCATGGAGGTACCGTCTCATGTGTCATGGTTGGGAAAACTCAAACTGAGAGACTTTAGGGCAATCAGTTGGTCTAGAGGATTGAGTTTCCACTGTAAAGCCCAGTGGTGGGGAGTGGTGGGTTTTCCAGCACGAAGAGTCCGAAGTGAGAGTGCTGCTGCCTCTGTTTATTCTAAAACATCAGTGGTGTCGGTTCATCCAGAACCTTTATGCGAGTGTAACTGACCCATGACACTTGACCCTCCCTTATTTGATCACTGACAGGTGTGATGGGCTGAAAGGGCAAAGCTTTTAGCGTAAAGTTGCACCAATCGAGGCTTTACTGGCCAGAATAGATTTATGGTTTTCTTTGAGGCCCAAGCTGCCAGTTCGGGTTTTGACTGATTCCAATCATCTTTCCACAGACAATAACAAACATCGACCTTAAGGGGAAAAAAAATAATGCTGCATATTCCTTGGTAGAGTTAGAAGAGTCGAATTCACCAAAACCTATTGCAGATTTATCGCCTTTTATGCAATGAAGCATTTGACCACATCTGATTGCCACAGCAGGACCTGTCTGCAGGTTTTCCAGACTTCAAGAGCACATCATTTTCAGCACATAACAGGAAGGCTTGAGTAAAACAAAAATTATCCATCCTTTGGTTCTAGAAAATGGGTAAAATATAAATGAAAGATTTACAGATGCCAGTGATTGGAAAACAACCTCAAAATTCGGATTGGTGCATCTCTGATTTTACATATCGATCAAGGAAAAATCGGCTGCACCATGTAAATGTAGCGACACGTAAACCAATAAAGACACTGAGCGCAATGTTCTTCACAAAATATAGACAAAAATGGACTGGCATCAGATTTTAGTAGCTGTAGGATTTCCCTTTTACTACAAGCTATTTCTCCCGCGAACGCTAGATTTGTAAATTTTTATTTACTCAGAATGCCCTACACTATTGTCCGAGTTCACTTTTTTGATCCGCATGACAGTTCGATTACGCATTCACATCTCCCCGAGCGAAGTGGACTTTCTGGACAGATGGACTAGAGTTTGGTTAAAGCGGACTAAACAGGGCTGGTGTGAATTCACCCTAAGACAAGTCTGGTTTCTCAGGATCTCATTGACAAGAGTTTAAGCCATAGGAACAGTGCCGCTTTAAATATTTGTTTGGCAAACTGCAATGTTTTAAAATCTTGCTGTGGTTTGATGCCTCCTACCTGAATTTCCTAAGTTTGCCCCAACATTCAGTCAAAACAACAATGAAAGTTTCAGACAACTGCTACAAAAACAGCAGCACCCAGGTTACCAATAAATTAAGAGTGGATTGTAATTCCTAACATTTTCACCCTTATTTATCTTTTATTAATCAGATTTTTTTTATCCTTTTGTAATCCAACATATAGCATCTCAGACTACATATCCTTGACATCTTGTTCCTCTCTCTCTCTCTCTCTCTCTCTCTCTCTCTCTCTCTCTCTCTCTCTTGAAAGACTCGATTTCTGCTTGTTCTAAATGCTCTGGCAATTCTCACTGGTCTCTTCCTGACCTCCAAGCTTCTCTTCGTTTTAGTCACTGTGCTATATCTCTATTAGCCTGAGCAGCAGCCATGGTGCGTGATTCAGCATCCAAGGTCACTCTGGCTCTGTTTGTCTTCCCTCTGCTCTTCTATATCAGTTCC